CCTGCTGCTGCTGCTGCCGCCGCCGCCGGCCCGCGGCCCGTGACCCCGGAGCACGCGTGCCTGTGCACGTGTGTGCGTGAGCGTGCACGTGTGCGCGCGGGCACGTGTGTCTGGGCACGTGTGTGTGTGAGCGTGCGTGTTGGCGTGAGCGTGCGTGTGAGTGTGTGTGTGCACATGGGCGCGTGTGCAAGGGGGCACGGGGTGCGCGCGGGTGTGCGAGGGCAGCGTGTGTGTGTGCGTGGGGGGGTACGGGGGGGCACGCGTGGGGGTGCGTGTGCTCGGGGGCGTGCACACGCGTGTGCACGAGCGTGCCCGGCCCCGTGTGACAGTGTGTGCGCAGGGGTTGTGCGTGCCCGCCTGCCAGGGCACACGCGTGTGCGGCGCGTGTCCCCCCCCGCGTCTGCCACCCAGGGTGGCACCAGGGACAGCCCCGGCTGACGCCTCCTCGGCCACCCCCGGCAGTGACCCCCGGGACTCACACCCCCAGTGTCCCCAGTGTCCCCATTCCCAGTATCCCCATCCTCCCTGAGCCCAGTGTCCCTCATGTCCCTGGTGTCCCCATCCCTGGTGTCCCCAGTGTCCCCCATGTCCCCATAGTCCCTGCTGTCCCCAGTGTGCCCCATGTCCCCATCCCCAGTGTCCCCGGTGTCCCCAGTGTCCTGTCCCCAGCCAGGTGGCCGCGGGGTCCCCAGCCCTGCCCGGGACTGATCCTGCCCGTGGTGATGGCACCCACTGTCCCCAGGGTGCTGGCACCCCGACAGGGGACACGGGGGGGACCCTGGCTGTGTCCCCTGCCGCCCCGGTGTCACCCCGGGGGGACGCTGGCGGGGACAAGCCATCGCCGCGTCAGCACCCAGAGCCTTCCCCACATTGTGTCCCCGACAATGGCAGTGCCACGTGCGTGGCCTTGCCCCCCCGGGGCCCCTGTCCCCTTCCCGGAGGGACAGAGGGACAGCGGGACAGACGGCCATGGGGCACCCAGCTGGCGGGTGCTGAAGGTGAGTGAGTGGCCGGGGGTGGGTGCCGGGGGGGGTCTGTCCCCAGTGTCCCCAGCCGCCTCCCAGAGGTGCCACCCCTGGCCCCCTCACGGTGTCCCCTGGAGATGCCCCTGGTGTCCCCTGAGGTGCCACCCCCGGGGACCCCCGTATCCCTGAGATGCCACCCTGGCTTCCACTGACAGCCCCCGTGGTGTCCCCATGGGTGTCCCCAGCGTCCCTGGAGATGCCACCCCTGCGTACCCTTGTGTTCCCTGGGGGATCCCCCCCTGGGTACCCCCGTGTCCCCCGGAGATGTCCCCAGGGTTGTCCCCAGCGTCCCCGGAGATGCCACCCCTGCGTACCCTTGTGTCCCCTGGAGATGCCACCCCCGGGTACTCCCGTATCCCCCGGAGATGTCCCCTGTGTCCCTTGGAGATGCCACCCCCTGGGTGCCCCCCTCCCCCCAGAGATGTCCCCTGTGTCCCCTGGCGCTGTCACACCCGGGTCCCCCCCGGGGGGTGGCAGCAGCCCCACAGCCCCTGCCCGGCGCAGGGGGATGCCGGCGAGCGGGGGGCTGC